TAGCTTGTACTTGATGTAAATGAGATAGCTTGATTAACACGACCTGATGATACTGCTGTCGTACCAGATGCTATACCATTACAAAGATAAACACTATAATCATTATATATTCCAGTTGTATCAAATGGATAATATGCTATTAATGATGCATCATTATAAATTTGACAAGCACTTCGAGCAACACCAGCTGATATTGTAAAATGATCTATCCTTCTACAAACAAAAAAACGGAAACATATTTAGTATTGTTAATTGTGTAATGATTCAGAGTCTTTCAACATTTAAAAATTGTTCATGTGCTTATATTGATAAAGAATATATGATTGAAGAAAATGATTAATATTTCTTACCCTTGAAAATATGAAGTTCCACGAGCAAATGATGAACTTCTTCCGATAGTTGTTGTTGAACTTGATGAATCTCCTTGATAAGAATTAATCATAGCAGATGATACAGCATCAATTTGACCATCAACATATATCTGTTGTTGAAATAGAATTGCATCATAAACAACTGTTACATGAACCCATTCAGTCAAAGTAACTGAACTTGAACCAATCAACGTTTTGTTGGTAGCATTCATAAAATCAAATGAAAATACAAAACGTGTACTTCGTAAATTTAACGACAAACAGGTCCAACTTGAATCACATTGGCTAAATATACCAAAGTCACCTGACGTATTGGTACTTCCTGGATAGAGCCATGCTTGAAGTGTAAAACTTTGCTTAGATAAACTTATGCTTGGAATTTGAACATACTGTTGTTGCACAGTTGGGTTTAAATTTATTGTCTGGCCTACGTAGGCTCCTGATGTAAAAGAAGGTGTAGACGTACCAAATGCCATTCCTGTACTATATCCAGTTTGATCGTTGGTGTTTCCATCAAATGGATAGAGAGCAGTAACTATCGATGTACGATATGCAGTTTCTTTACCAATACATGTTGAAGTTGAACAGCTTGAAACAGTTATATTAGTAAATGAAGCTAAAGTAAAATTTAAAAAAGAACGCCATGAATGATATTTTATTTCTTAGTTTTAATAATTTACTTACATTCAGAATGAGTTTGACGAATGACGAATATATATATAGGTGGTATAATAGTAACTACAAGAATCGAGATTATGATAATTGCAATGATTAATCCGAAAAGTATCTTTTGTTTGAATGTCAAAAGACTAAATAGAAGAAAAATTGACAAAATCTTTCGAAGAAAAACTATCGGTTTTATGTTAGAATAATGAATCGTAACACAGAAAATCGTGTACTTATGTTTTAAACATTCCTTTCTTCCAGCTATGTATGAAGCGCGAAATATAATCAATATTTGATGTTAAAGTGAGAAACTTCTGTCGATTTTTTCTTTCCTATCTGTAGAACTCATCATATCGTTTGACTTTCTAATCATTGAGGCTAGATAATAGATTGAAATAATAGATAAATTTGTACGATATTTCGGTTCAATATGAAATTTAGTATGCTAACTAGAATCTGGCATGACATCGAATCGTAATCAAAGAGGAAAGGTGTTAGCACCATTCCTATCGAACTACAATGTGAAACACGATATGACTGTTATTCGTACCGGCAAAGAGAACATTGTTAAGGTATCCGTCATGGTCTGTCGGTACGAAGCAGAATGTAGCTGTAAATTGAGGCTTTGCAAATTCTATGACTTCTCAATTCTTGAGGAATTCAGAACTTAAGGTACATCAATAATCAGCAGTCATTACCGACAATCACATAAAGCTCTCACTAGTCTCGAAATTCAAGAAACCAACGAGCCGTTGTAACTTACAGAAATCTATGAACACGAAAGTCTCTAATAAATGAAAGAATCAAAAAAATTCTGAGAAATCTTAGACCATTCAGAACTGTCGGAAGGTACAGCTATACTCTGGGCTTTCGAGCAGTTTGTGAATGAAGTCTTTACTCCACTATCAGACACAGTGACAGTTACAGCAACGGTCAAACCGCACGTTCAGAAATATACCGCACACCCACACCCTAACATGAAAATTATTATCAAATAATCTTTTTGTTTGCTTTGACCATCGTTCTATGGTGGCCGCTGGGCTCTAAGAATATCATACGAAAAGCATTTTATTAGAATACGATGCACGAACATTTACGGACTTACTTAAACCATTCGATAAAACGATGTGAAAAATTTTGTTTTTGTTCTATTAAATTATTTTCACTGCTAATGGAGGATGATGAATAGTTAGGAATATCTAGTGATAATAATTGTTCAGCTTTTAATTTGTCAGTATTATAATCGTTATTTCCTACAGTCGATTGATTTGTTGAGATATATCTTGATGGAAGCGATTGAAGACTATCAGGGATGGTTGTATTCGTATTCGTTATGTTATCGTATTGTTCGTTATTATTAAATGGTTTTATCTACGTAATAAATTCGTGGAATCTATAATATGGATTGAGACTATTACCTTTCTTTTAATAATAGAGAATCGTGGTACGTGTACGACACGAGTCACACTGTTTTTTTCGACGACTGTTGCTTTATTCATTAACTAATATGTGCCTCAACAGTATTTAAAAGAATATATAAAACAAATAAAGTGAAATATATATGCAGAAGATAGAATTTTCTTTTGAAATGTCCTGGCTGACTTGCGTTATTGATGGATAATATTTAAACTTGAGAAGTTTTGTCTAGTGTAGTATTTACAGTGAACAAATATTATTGATTTTTTATTATAACTCCTGGGTTTTTTCTCTTTTTGTTTTAGATCTGTTTTTCATGCATATTATTACAGAATGAAAAAAAAGTATTATTTCTTTAACGATTATATCAAGCAAATTGACAGAGTATTCATTTTTGTATACCAATCGAAGCCCATCAAATCATGTTTTTTGCTTTTACATACGTCGGATTGTATAATCTTAAAAATTCATAAAGAAAAAAAATCGAAGAAATGCTCACACGTGCTCAGGAAAAAAAATAGCTAGAGAATCCTAAGAAGTTTTTAATTAAGTTTATTGAATGTTTCTCATTACAATGTTTCACCTCGACTCTTGATAATAAGCCATACTCAAATTCAAACTTCATCAATAAATTCCATTGTTTTCATGTTTTCTGTTTTCTATTTTCTATTTGTCTTGTCAGGACTGTTGCATTAATTTGCTGAGTTGTTTCAAACATCAGACAACAGTATTTTTTTTAATTTTTGTACAATGTTGCTAGAGAAGTACTTTTTTTTAAAACTTGGAATTGCCCTCCTGTGTTAGTCAATATTATGACAATTATTTCTCTAATGAAAAGAATGATCTTATTCTGAATATTTTTTATCTGCCATTTCATAAACACCATGTACTTTTCATAGTCGAAACTATCGTGATTATTTTTATCGAATAAGAGAACTTTGTAAGCCTCCGATTTCAAATTTCTAAAGTTTTTGTGTTTTTGTTTTCATAGTTTCAATTAAGATATAAGCTATAAGTACCAGTGTAAGCCAGTTAGCTGGACTGCCAACGTCAAGACGCAAGCGACCCAACTGCGTCTCCGCTGTTACCTAAAGTAGTTATTGAAGACTTCAGCTATCACCAATACGACACAAAAATAGATATTTGATTTTAAAAAAATTTTCCGACGTCCGAACTAAGCTTTTGGAAAGTTTCTTGTCTAGCTTCTAGTGAACCAGTTCTCTATTATCGTTTTCTCTCTTTTTCATCTCAGAATCTCTCGAAACTAAAAGAATTTTGAATAGAAGTCATTGAAAAATCTCAGTGACCGCTTCCGAAGTCTGAGACTTTTGCAGCTACTGTCGCCGTCAAAGGAAAAAAATTGGTATAAATTCGCCCACTGCCGTCGATCTCTACGAGAGGTGTATGTGTAAAGAAGAGATCTGTACTCACACCTATACCCCAAAACAATTATTATGCATAATTCACGGCTGATGTATTGATTGTAGAAGTGAAACAATAAATTTTACCACTTTTGCCAATAACTTCCTAGTAGTACTCGCTATCCGACAAATTGTGTTAGTCATAATAGATATCCTAAATTTCAGGTCCTGTTCAAAACTAGGCAATTTAGTTACATAAATAAATAACAACAAAAAATAAGAGGTTATATTAAATTACATAAAAAACCGAATACATCAAGTTATTGATTATAGAATGTCTGTCTTCATGACTAGAATACACTTTTGTTTATCGTTGAGGACGCTCAAATGAAAAGCAATACCAAAACTAAATGAAATAAATGTCGGGTACAGAGTGGCTCATACATAACTAGAAGGTAAAAAACATACAACATTGCTAATCTGACTTAATCAATTGGGTATGATTTTTCTTGGTGATAGAGAACTTCTCAATGTTTTTATTTGCAAGGAAGGCATCAATGAATAATGTTTTGAACTAGGACTATCGATCTCGGTAAAGAACTGCACTATTTGCCGAACGTATTCCTCTGTAATTTCAGCCGTTCTTAAGACTACACACCTAAACTTTTTTTTAGCGTATTTCTTCATTGAATTCAATACTACACGTTCAACACAGTATCCATTTAAGAGCTTCCTTATGAACAAAAACTTTGACGAATCTTCTGTCACCGAGAAAAAAATCAGTCCAATTGGTTATACAGTAGACTGAAGATATTGAATTTTTTTTTTATTGTCTAGTTATTTATGGATTGTCGCGTACATCATCGTTTTTTTTCTCATGTGTTAGATCAGTTCGTCATAAAATTCAACATTATGAATATATGAATGCTGGGACCAACTGCAATGCTCGAATAGATAAACAAAAACTATGACTTGAGCACAATTTCTATTTGTTTTCTTTATTGATGATAGAATCTCTACTCATCGTTATTTATTTTTTCTTCCTCGGGAATATTTCCATAGGATAAAATTAAAAGAAGAACAAAATATTTTGCATATTTTTCTCATTAGTTATCAAAGCATTCAGAATAATATTTCACAATGCTTCGAACTATTGGAATAAATCAACAATAAATAAAAGTGATCAAGTGATGTTCTCACAATAGTATCATTTAATATAGTAAAATTGAAAAATGCAAATAAATTCTGCATTGATACATATCTCTAAAATATCAAGTAACGACATCTATAATCGATTAATCTGTTTGTTAATTCCATCAGCCTATATTCTTTTTTGACTGTTTAACACTTCCTTCCTTCCTTCCTTCATTCTTTTTTTCTTGTATGTGTCTTTTTTTTGATTGACAACCAGCCAGCTTGGTAACGTTTATTTCAAATAATATTGTTATAGTTATTACGAATGTTCTAGAAGCTTCGTATTCATGTTTTACAATAAATAATATATATAAAACAGTATGACTAAATCGTCATTTTTTTTTGTCTTACTTTGACAATTATTAATTGTAATAATCTACATGAAACAAAAGTCATGCTGTTTATAATAATCAATTTCGTCAATGCAAATTACGATTTAATTTAAGTTTGTGGAATTTTTCCATTGTATCTCAATCTGCGTATGACATGTGTTGAATGATTTCTATTCTTTGTGAACAGATAACTATTATTATATTTCAAAGAAATAAATATTAATAATATTTTTATTTCATTTTAGATTACGCATATATAATTTTAATCAAAACAAAATGGTATGTTTTAATAATTGAATAATTTTATTAATTGATGAAGAAAAACATAGAAATGAACAGAGCAGAAAAAAGAAACTTGATTATGTAATCGATTCGATGGATATTTCAAATAAGAGTATAAAGATGTCTGACAATATTAATATTTTGTTTTTGATCAAGTCAATAAATTGTATTCTCGACGTTTTTGGCGACCGGAGTTCATCAGATTGATTTCGGATGCGATAGACGACAGAGCCTATTTGAATTCCTATGAAGATTTAAGTAAGTTTTCGAATTTTGATTTGAAAGCTTGTACATATACAGAACTCAACTAGACTAACTTTTATAGAAAATTCAAAGGTTTCTTGAACGAAATCTCTTCAGGATATAAGACTTTCAAAATATATACACTACCATGGATAGTGTATAGAACATGCTTTTGCTGAAGACATCACATTTCGAAGAGATTTTGTTCAAAGAAACTTCTGACTTTTTTAATGAAGTTTAGTCTAGTTGAGTTCTTTATATGCACAAAGTTTCATATCAAAATTCGATAGTTTAATCAAACCGAAAAGAGACAGTTAACGAGGTTCTCTTGTGGAACGGAGTCCGAATTTTATTGTATTCGTTGGTTTCAACGATGTATGTGATTCGAGATGAAATTATCTAATGAATTAAAAGTTTCTTTTATTTCGTGCAAATAGATATCGTGCAATTTAGAAAAAAAATCTGGTAATCCGAGTTCATAGTTCATTCTCGTATAGTTATTAGTGATTATAACTACTTCTAAAGGAAAACTAAACGAATAATTTTCGATTAGAAGATGTTATAATCAAAAGAATGTCGTTAAAAGTTTGAACTGCCAGAACTGATACCCACCACTTGAGTTAATATTGAGCCTACAAGTAGCAGCATAAATGGTTGGTTCCTATGATCTTTTGAAGACGAGTTGGAGTTATTTTTCTGAAAATTTTGTCTATAGATAGATTGAATTACTCGTGAAACATTTTGAAGGTTTCAGTCGAAAAGAATGTTTTTTCTGTTGAGATATCGAATTTCGAAAGAATAGTTGTTTGTTAGAGGCATGATACATAAATCGAGTTTACTTGGAAATTCAATATCTCGATAAAAAAAGACATTCTTTTCTGTCGAAACTTTCAAGATAGTCTATGAATTATTAGACTTATCTCTAGACAACATTTTACATTGGAATGCTTCTTTTTTATTTTTCGATAAATTCCTATAAAAATGTGTAGAAAATTAAGTAAAATAATCATAATACTGCTCCAAAAACTCATGAACACGAACCAGTTTCGATTTTTCCTAGTCTCACCAAGATGTTCTAGTAGATTCAATATGAGCTCAAACGGCGAACGATCACTCCGGATTATTTCCTCGTACAATATCAAAACTCATTAATTTATTCATTCTTTAATTCCTTGATCAATTGTATAATTAAAGAATGATGCTCTATAGACACATTCATATAATCTTATCGAAATGTTGAATATTTATTTTTATTTAAATCAATCTAGGCTCAAAATAATTCATCGTTATTATATGATGTTAGTATATGTCTTCGGGATGCTATGGATAGTATGTTCAATAATGGTCATAATATAATTATATCAAATGTTAATAATATTAATGTTGACATATCTAACAATGGTGGACTTTCATCAACAGATGCTTTAAAACTAATGATAAATAAAAGAAAATTAGAACCAACTGTTATTATTAATGATGTAGAAAACTATCACGAAAATGAAAATGATCATGTTAAACGTATATGTACAATTAATGATCATCAACAACATGAACAAAAAGAATGAATTTAAAATATACAAAATCTGTCAGATTAATGCTATCTTCGTATACTTTGTATCTATTTATTAATTGTTGTGTAAATGTTGATAATAATCCTAGTTTTGTTTAGCGAATTTTGTCTATATATTGTTAAAATTAAAAAAAAAGAAAAATAATGTAGATATTCTTTCGTAGTTTTTGTAATACAATATATCGTCGAAACCTGTCGGTAAACAAGATGCAAATAAGTTTTTACAGAAAATATTTTTGCCCTTTTTCTATATATGATGGATTTAGAACTTTTATATTTTCACTATTGTGAATCGAAAATAAAAGTTAGGATCTTTATTTACAGGTTAAATTGTAGATCAGAAGTGGTCCTACAAAATTTTTATTCTATATATCGTGGGAGACATTTCTTTATCTGTCTTTTTCTTAATCTTTCAGAAATTCAATAAGAAAGTAGTCAATATATTGCAACGAGCTGTCATTGATATATATATATAGTCTACAATGATCTCTAGCTAGTGTCTGTCACGATTTGTGAGGAGTGAGGCATGATGTGCTTCTAAGAAAACGTTTAGCTAAAAATGAAAATCGTACTTTTTAAAGATATAAATATAGCCTATCTAATGATCTGAATAACTTTGTTATAACCTTCAAAGAAATTGAAACCACCGATTACTCAAAAATTAACTTGAAAATCGTGATGTCTCTGGAAAAATTCATATCCAACAAAAAATCAAACGATTCGAGAGACAAATTAAGTATATTTTCTGAATCTCGAAGTCGAACTCTATACACTGGTAAAAAAAAACATATTTCAATTTATTTGTTTCACTGCTGAGAATTCAAGTGTCATCTGAACAACTAGTCCTATAAAATGAGCAATCTACTCGCATCCAATCTACAATTTTTTCCAGAATGTTCTTCTATCTACTGTCTTTAACTCCTGTTAGCTCAAACATTTTTGAGCTACACAATGGATTTTCAAAAATTTTAGATCGTGTTTCACAGAATTGAAAAGAAAATTTCGCTATTACATTGTCAATCTGTTCCCATAGAAAGATTAAAAACCTTGCCTATCAACAACAGAAAATTTCGAGGGGTGAAATCAGAACGCAAGAAAAAATTTAGAAGGAGGAAATTATCTTATTTCCCCTTCTAATTTTATGGCCTATCCTCATAGGAAGGCATTAAAAAATTTTGTTTTCTTCTTCTGTTATAAATATAGAAGCATTCATATTGTTGTACAAGAAATAATATTTACTGTTCTATATTTTTTACTACTAAAACATATACATTGACAAGACAGAAAAAAAAACGAAACCATATTTCACGGCAAACTAATTTTATTTTAAATATCTGTTGATGTTGATTTTCCAGTCACAGTCATATTATTATCGTCTGGATTTGTTGGTGTCAATATCAGTGGATCAGTTGGTGTTTTATTTAAATTCAAATGTTTTTGAAAAAATGAAAATATATCAACCGGTATTGGAAAAATAATTGTTGAATTTTGTTCTGTTGCTATACTATTTAATGTTTGTAAATAACGTAATTGCATAGCACATGGTGATTGAGCAAGAATATCAGCTGCATCTTTTAATGCACGTGATGACTTAAATTCTCCTTCACTAGCAATAATCTAACAAATAAAAACAAAAACAATCTTTTTTTTGACTGAGAATTTTTATTATTTTACTTTTGCTCTTGCTTCTCGAGCTGCTTCAGCTTCAGCAGCCATAATACGTTGAAGACTTTTTGGTAATCGAACATCTTTTATTTCAACTCTTTCAACTTTAATACCCCAACTTTCAGTTGCCTCATCTAAACATTCACGCATTAAATTCGATACAGCACCACGATCACATAATAATTCCGATAATAAACGTGTACCAAGAACATTTCGTAATGATGTTTGTGCTAAAAGATGTGTTGATTCTTGTGCATTTTCAACATTAGCAATAGAAACTGTTGGATTAAATATACGATAATAAACAACAGCATCAACTGCAACTGTTACACTGTCACGTGTTAAAACTTCTTGTGGTGGAACATCAAATGAAACTGTGCGGATATCAACAAGATGTATTATATCAATACATGGTAATACAAAACACATACCAGGACCATGAGCTGATGTTCGACTTAAACGACCCAAACGAAATACAACAGCACGTTCATATTCTTGAATAACTTTAAGTGTAAGAAATAGAGAAAATGGAAAAAATAAAACTAATATACACCATGAACATATAATTAATATTAATTCACATAATGTACGATTTTCATGAAAAACTTCTTCACCAATTATATATGGTACATCATATTTATCCCATAGACGACGAAGATTTGGTCGATTTGCTTTCAATAAAATTTCATCACGACGACGACTATCATCAAATATAGCAGCTATAGATGATTTACGACGATCAATACGTGATGTTGTATTTGTTGATACTATTGGTGATGTAAATGGTTGTTGTTCATCATTATCATTGAATGATGTTATATCAGTTGCTGATTCTCGTCGTGGAGGACTCATGTATTAATAATCTAGAGAAAATATATGTTGATTTCTACTAAAGATTTTATTTGGAAAAAAACATAATACTTTATAAATGAAATAGTTTTGAAGAAAAAGTTTTCAGTCAAATGTTAAATAAATTAAGTTGATTCTATTGTAAATGAAAAGAATTTAACAATATTTCTTATGTATTCTAGATAAATAAAATTATATTAGAAATCATTCTGTGAGAAGAAAAAAAAAAATTTTTTTTGTATTTTTATTTAATATTTTCGGAACTCGAGACATATGTAGAGATTTTTCGTTTCGGAACAGTTAAAATCTATTGATGCATACTATTTATCATTGGTCTATAATTTGGTTCAAACGACTTACATATACGTCGCATATCAGTCTTTGAAAGATCAATAGATTTGATTAGAAATGAAAATGAATTTAATTTAACTAATTCAAACATGATTAGTTGGATGTTATGTAGAGGAATTTTCTTTTAATGGAAGCAGAAAACAAATTGCTTTTAGGTTATTGTTCGGATATCAACTCGTTATCAATGATTTTGCTATAAGAAAATTGTATGACACATGTTTATCTCATTATATTTCATCTGACTCTATATAAGAATAGCAAAAACATTTTAACACAATAATTGTTGTAATCAATGTTCGACATGTTGACAGTAAATCATAAGCTTTTTATAGAATTAGAAAATATTCTATATTGATCTGATAAATAAAAACTGAACTATTTACGTTTATTTGAGTTAATCAATGCGAATAATCTATAGAAAACAAAAATAATATATCTAGTTCTTTTATGTATATTAAACATATAGAATTTTTTTTTCTATCATATTGTTCTCATTCTATTGTGATTTGATCTTTATGTCAAAGTAACAAATCTAAAATCAAACATCAACTATCAATTATACCTATCATAATAATCAAATAATCATTTTTATTACTGATATATCTATGCAAGTTTATTACCATAAGATAAATCATAAAAGATCAAATGTCTAGTCGATTAATTCTTTCAAATATAAGAAATTACGATGCTAGTCTCTTTTATTAGATTATTCTTAACAACCGGAAAAGTCTTATTAATACTCACCTGTATTTAAAATTCGACACAATGGGTATTACAATATGTGACACTATGCTCTTATGAAACAATTATTTTTTTCTCTTGCATCGACGGGAGCACGAGCAGATGTACTTATCTGATTAAGATCATGATTGATTGATACATACATCCTTCCTCTCTTTCTTTTTTCTTCGTCTCTTTCTCTCTCAAGAGTCGAATAAACGAGCAAGAACACGGTCAATTAGAGTTCGTAACATCATGCTGCCGGATCTGGTATGTTCTCTCATTTTCTTCTGCACAACGACAACAACATACTTAGGAGAATATAACGACAAAATATTAGCATAAAAAAAGACGAAAAAAAAAGACGACATCGATAATCGGTTGAAGAATAATATAAATCAAAGTATGCATTAATTACAGAAAAGTTTCATCTTGATTATCATTTTCTATATGCTTGTCAAAGATATATATATCTATATATTTATATTCTATTGTGAGAAATAAAAAGAAAAAAAAAACTCGTAATAAAATATAATTAATCTAGAATTAGTCGTACCAGAAAAATAAATCTCAGAAAACTAGATAATTGATGTCATTTGCAGATGTGTATGCGTATTTATACGTTTTAACAATAATAAATAGGCAAAGTAACAGACAATAAACACATTGGCAAGGTTATCAAAAGGGTGTGAGATATTCTTATCTCTTAGACTACTTACAAGAACAATATTATTATGATAACTTCCTTTTAATAGAAAACAAGTTAATAATTGAAGTTTTGCTTGATAATCTTAAATAATTACCTATAGATTAACTGAAATAGAAATAATTCTGTGAATAATTCGTTACTTTCAAATTTGTCTTTTCTGTTAATCATAAATAAAACAAAAAAAACCTGTTCATCAACTCATAGATTAATTTTCGAACGACTTCAAAAAAAAAGCTGTCATCACGATAATTTTGATTCTTGCGATTGTGAATATTAATGCATGTTATTGAATTTATCTTATCGTAAATCTAGCAATCAAGATATTACATTATTTTGAATTACAATTAAAGCATAAATACTTATGACGAATACTTTACTTTTCAATGAAACGACAGTATTTATTAGAATTTCAATAAATTAATACTACAATTTTTTCTTATCTAGATGTCTGAATAGCATAGAACGAAAATCAATTAGATAGTTGCAATCGAATCAATATGTCTCAGATTATACTGATGAATAAGAATCAATTTGCTATGAAAGATTTACAACATATGTCGAAGTTAATCAAAATAAATATTTGATATTTTAATCAAACTACTAAATAAATCTAATGAAATTGTCATTATCTATTATTATAATTTTTCGAAAATGAGTCTTTTTTTTTCATATGAAGTGTTGAACACTCCATGTATTCTATATATCCTTCTTCATCTATTGAAGAGTTTCATATGTTTCTACAAGAGAACTATTAATAATTGTTTATTTGATAAAACATTTGGCTAACATTTATCATTGCAAAAAGAGATTAATTTTTACTAAATGATACCATATGTTTTCTTGAAAAATTTCCCGTTTATTATAATAATCGTCAATAAAAGTTATTAGAACGACATCTATCAAAATTTTTCATTGGTTGAATTAAATTCACCATTGCTTGTCTTTTTTGTAATTTCATATATTTAACTTTTATTTTTGAAATACACAAAGAAGAATTAATGGCATCATCGTTAGATTTATTTGATCAATTTTCAGCAAATTTTCATAAAACATTTTCACATCAACCATGTCTTGTTATTGATGTAGCGCAATCAAATTTACCACCATCACCATGGTCAGGAAATGATAATCGTAATACACAAATTTGTTGTCAACCATTTTTTGATCCAAATTCAAACGGTGGTCGTTATGAAATAGCTTTTTATGATAATGGTTACGCTTATTATGAAGCATTAGATGGTAAAGATTTTCAAGCACGTCTTGAACGTCTTAATCCACAAATGGAATTTCGTGATTTAAAAAAAGTTTTAGAAAAAATGAAACAAATATTTGAACAATCAGTTATAAATAAAACAGACAATCAAATTTCTGTTCAATTAATTAATGATGATGTATTAATCGTAGACATGAAAGGTAGATAAAAACTAATATATGTATATATATGAAAAAGATTTTGTTGTTCTTACAAAAAAAAACGTTTTTTCTTTATTAGATTAACTAAATTCGAACGAAAAGAAATGTTTATTTTAATACTCATCAAGTACAAAAATGAAACATTTAACTATTATGAGTACTGAATGAAATTATTCATTTGTTTCGATTTGTCCGATTATACACACACATCTACAACAACAGTCTAACTTGATAGGGATATCCAACAGTTGTTTATGTTTTCCTAATATTCTAAGAGAAGGTCAATATATTGAGATGCAATTTTTTGCGAAATATACTTCATAGTTTATTCAAGTCAAGTATCATTTCTTGTCACTACAAACTTGCTATGCTAGATAAATATTTATTTGACTAGCGATTAATTGTATACTTCATACAAAAATTTCATACTATCAACTGTCTATCTTGCAATTTCGAACAGAAAAAATATCTGATACAATTTTTTCGATGAAGGTTTTCTTGCTTTTACAAGAAAAACATTTTTGAAGGTTGTTTCCTCTTCGAAATTATACAATGGATATGTTTATTTTGTTATGAAATAACGTCTATTCTTCTATGAAGTGTCTAATCAATTTTGTGTCAAGTCAAAATAATATATCTTTTTTTTGCCACTGTTTATATTACACAGCAAGTAAATAGCGACAAGAAATGATACTTATGATAGATAAACTGCAAAAACTTGTGGCATATCTTAAATCTAGTACCTCAATATATTGAACTTTTATTAAAATATCCAAAAAAAAAAAATCTGACGAGTGAATGATTAATTTTGAGTTCCACTGTAGTACTTTAATAAAAGTGAATAAGTCTGAATAAAATCTGTTTAAGAATGTTTTCTTTTCTTCTTCAAGGTCGTATTCAGTCTTCAATACTTTTTAAATATATGTTTAAATGTCAACGACGTGAAGGTGAATTTTATGAAGCAAATTATGTTCGTCAAATTGTTTATTGTCTTGCTGAACGTAAAAGTCGTGAACTTGAATTAATTAAACTAATTCAAGCTAAAGATAAAGAACTTGATGATTATCGTTCTCAAGGTACATGTCAATTACAACGTGCATGGCTTACAACACAACCATTTGATAAAGATGAATTTGATAAATCAACATCACGACAAGTTCAACAACGACATGATGATGTTTTAATGCATACACTTGATTTAGCATTTGATCGTGAAGGCCAACAATTAATTGAAGAATGTTTATTAAGAAATGAATATCGAAAACAATTAGGTTCATCACAAGATGGTCATAGTTCATCAACAACAAAAACATCAAAAAAGAATATTTCATCACAAAAACGAACATCAAGTAAACATCAGTCAGGTTCAAGCCAACAATTAAATGATGATATAGTTGCTGCCGAACTTCGTCGACATGAAGAACTTGAAAGAAAACTTCAATTAGAGAGAGAACGTGATGAACAAATAGCTAGAAAGAAAAAGAAAAAATTCGTTTAATTATATTTTATTAATCAAATATTTACTTTCTATATAATTTTTTGTTTGTATATACAATACAAATGTATTAGTATCACAATAAATATTTTCAAAATGCTCAACTTGATTGAAATTAAACGATTTTTTTTTATAAATAGCAACGATAGAAAAAAAGGGTGACACCGTAAAAGATATAAAACACAAACGAGAAAACGCAAAATACATTTATGCAATTATAGTAGTACTTCTAATTTGTTTACGTGACCAAAGATAAGTGTTTGTCATATTGTCATACAGTGTTTTATCTAGAGTTGTACCGATCTTCAGAGGGACACCATCTCTGCACTTGATAAAACACTCTTATCATGAGTAAAAAAAAAACCATGTAAATGCTACAAAAATAGTACATTCGATATATATTGATGTCTCTGTCTTGCTTATCTTTCCATATTGATCCTAGTCAGTGTCCGTTGCAGCAAAATTGGTGCCAAAAAATTCATCTTTGCAATAGTTGTAATTTACTTGTTCGTAGGGATGAAATCACTGTCGATTGATCTCATACAGACAAATTATTTTTAGACGTTTTCATTTTTTATGTCAAATGCATTGTGAAAAACTTAAATTTTGTAATACGCGTGAGTGGGATATTAGTCTCGCATAAATAAAAAGAAAAAGCAAATGGACTCATTTTAAAAAAAATTCTATAATGCCAATATAGTGGTGTGACATGTTGAAAGACTTCAAGTCTTGTAAAATATTTTATCAATCATGAAGGATCTCTTCAGTTTCAAATAGTTGCAGTAAAAATTCAATTGATTTTCAAAATAAAAGTTTTGTGGAACTAACATATATTTTCGAAGTAAATGGTGAGCATAAGTTTTAAGTAGAGCTTCACTGGATCTCCTTTAGAGACCTTCCAGGGCTACAGATCATTGAATATGAGTCGGTTCCTATCAACCAAAAACAACCAGCACCACATTCCTTTCTCATAGTTCATTAACAATAGGAAAGGGCGCTGAACAGTATTAACTAAAAAGTTGAGCCTGTTGTGAAATATTGCAAAGTCTTTCTTGAAATTTATGAATAAAATCTTAGCCAAAGTTGATTAAAAGGTATTTTGGTGACAAATGATCCTAACTAAAACCTTCGTGAATTTAATTATGACGAACATAATATTTATGTGCACCTTCAACTTAGGTTGGTGCAATTTTAAGTGAAAAATAAGTTAAAATTGAAATGAGCACCCAATATGTATATAAAACGGGTGCTTCATACAGAATGACTCATTTTTCTTGTTGTTTTGAGAATCTTAGAAATTTTAGCAAAATCTTTTTAAAAAAAGAGAGTTTTCTAGTCTACACGATTATAATTCTGTTCACCAAACAACATTGTCTTTTCATATGCAAATAAAAACGAAACCAGAAGTGATAGAAAAATCAGTAGTACATCCTGTAACAGTGTTCAAGCTTTTTCTGGTGGAATACATCTGCGAACACAATTTACGCTTTATAAGTAGATAAAGTAAATTGAGAAGTTTGTTGATTTTGAAGTTCATCAATGTCAAAACGAATTTAGCAGAAAATAAGATTTCGCTTAACATCCATTTTTTAACGTATTCTGAACTGACATATATTTATATATAATGATTGTCTTTTTATTTTGTGTTCATTATAGGCTTCGATGCAGTTCTTCGAACAAATGTTTCCATGGTAACCCGAAAGTTGCGCACGAGATAAAATTTCATTTCTTTTTATTTGGCAAGTCAACACGAATTTATCATTTGAATATATATATAATAATAAATGAGAATAATAATGAACAAAAATAAATAATAATATAATAATTTTTTTTCTTTTTTAAAATATTTTTATTATTTCTAAGAAAATAGAATAATAACAAGAAAAAAAAGAGAAATAATAATAAGAAAAATAAATAAGTAAATAAAGTATAAATAAGGTGAGGCCCTTCGGATGAATTCTTTTTCAAGGGAGTAATTTCTTGTTATCATTCTATTTTCTTATGAATAATAAAAATATTTAAAAAAATAAAAAAAAATGATTATATTATTGTTTATTTTTGTTCATTATTATTCTCATTTATTATTATATATTCAAACGACAAATTCATGTTGACTTGTCAAATAAAAAGAATTGAGAATAAAATAAAATTTTGTTTCTTCTCTTATCTGTTTGTATTTTTACTATCTTTCGGAGTATTAATATGAATTTTATCTCGTGCGCAACTTTCGTAGACCCATTTCCATCTAATATTATATTCAATGCACACTGCATCTTTTCCTTTTGTCAATTGAGGATGTGATTTCTTTTTCCTTTCTTATCAGAGTTATTATTTAACTATTCCAATCAATATTTTTCTATGAATTTAACTTTTTCAATCTGAAAAACAATATTTTTTTGTTCAAGAACTTAACATTCTTGTAAAGCAGAAGATTCTCTATTTTTCTTCCTTGAAAAATCATGTTTCTAGAAACTTTTTAAGATTCTCAAAAATACCGAAGAAAAATGGTTCATTCATGATGTGCTATCCTTTATGTCTGTCTACATATTTTCTAAATGAATGTTCATTCGTGTTGTTTTCAACTCTATATTGTTTTCCCTACACAAGTGTTCGGAAATGAAACACTATTTTCAAAAAATATAATAGCGCAACAGATATGAAAATAAATTACGCGAATCGGACTTTTTTTTTCGCCTTCTTGACATACGCAGACCTCAATATTTGTCCATAGCGCATGACTTTCTTTCTAATGACAAGCACTTGAACACTTGCATGAGTTATAGGTATAACTAAAGCAAATCATGTGCTGCACACATAATAATTATAGTAATGAGCGTCACCAGAAAGATCAATTGGAAAGAAATAAAAACAAAAGTATTTAAGACGGAAGAGTGTTCTCCATCATTTATGTTGTTTGAGACTAAGTTCTAGTGTGGGCTTTCTTTAAGATCTACATATTAAGATGCTTTTTATTTAAAATAAATTTTTATTGTAAATGGGATCGTTTTTGAACATGAGATTGAGGAAGAAGAAAAGAAAAGCCTGCATAGAATATAATTAAAATTAATTTCATGCGTTACAAAATTATACTACGGGAGATGATGAAATTTAATCGAATGTTAACATCAGTTGTTTATAATCGAGACGGATTTGTTCTATTAGTTTGTGCAGGTCGTAATGTTTTCCATTCACTATTTCTTTGATGATCGTGTTTCAACCGACGAACTGATTCCTTAGGAGTCTGCTAAGTACACTAAAAGTCGATCATCATTAGACAATCATTTATCGCGCTCCTTTATACATTTATAAAGTGCAACTTTGAGAGATATATCACGGCTCTTTAGCCATTGTGATATTTCACAGTTGTAATTTTAATTTGTTGCCTGAGCAAACAACGTTCGTGCAATGTTTAATACAAAAGATCATCTGTTTCGCATTATTTCTTTTATGGTCTACACATCGTAATGTGTGCCACAAAAAAACTATTCATAGTATCAATATTTTTATTTTCCCTTACCTATATATTCTTTACGTTAAATAGTTAGTAACAACGATATCAATATCGGAGAGATGGCTGAAGAGTTCGAAAAGAGAAGATCTCTAATAGTCGTGCACATTACACGTACATGAACAAAATTCAAGTGCACGAGGAAGAATGTTGAGCAATCAAATAAGAAATTCAAGTATTTGAGTTCGCAAAAAGGCCTCAAGATTTGTCCATAGCGCATGACTTTCTTGCTCCAGAAGCTCAAGTATCTCATGTGCATCCCAAAAGACGTTTCACTCGGGTAGGGAAAAATTTCTACTTCTCGTTAGGCGCGACCACTGAGCGAAAAAATTTTAGGGCGATGGTCGACTTCACCGATGTTTCGCGACCATTACCGACCTTCACACCGCATTCACCTAGTTTTTAGACACGATACACATCTCTGATTGCTAATGATAAGCTAACTATTTTGAAAACTCAATTATTTGAAAATGTTGAAAACTTACACCGATTGCGAAAAAGAACAAAACAAAACGAGTGGCTGAAATAATTATTATTTAAACATCATCTTTATTCTTGGTTTAAAATATTCTATAGATATTTTTAGATAAATTTTGAAAAATAAATTGATTATAATAAAAGAATGAATTATAACCGTTTTGGTATAGTCTTATAGGAATAAATTATGAAAAATCAGGATTTTCAGGCAAAATCAGGACACTTCTAAAAAAATCAAGAAAATAATACGGCTGCGAGGTCTGTTATTATCGTTTTTTTTTGTAATGTTCTACATATACCATCTCATCTTTCTTTACTCCTCTATACTTGTGAACCAACATATTAAATGGCACAATAAAGATTAATGTTAAAAACAAGTATTCCATTTTCTGTATATTCAGCTATTCCATTACTCGAATAATGATGTATTGATTTTTTTCAATATAGGGAATATCGAAGCAGTGTAGTTTTCACATTCTCGAGCATTCAACTCTTCGAATTCACGGATACTGGAATAGTTACCTATTCGAATAGTTGAGTATTAGAGTAATGGAATGTTCGAATAGTTCAACATTCTAATAGTGGAATAGTGGTACGAAGTTGTGAAATTTTGCATACATGCTCTTAGGCATTTCTGTAAGTTGTCGCTATATATTTTCTCTGGGCACGATCTGTATCTCGTTTGATTATGAGCTGGTTGTAGCAGATTTCAATGCTTCTTTCTGAATGCATAGTACAGTAAGATCAGATCCAAAGATTTTAAATATATATATATATATATATATATATATATATCTTGATAGATGGCACATAGACTGATTTCTTCATTTTATTTCGTTGTGTCATTGAGAACTTTTTACCACTTATCAATAATTTTCTCGATGTCTAAACGAAGTCAAAGTTTTTATATCTATCTAGTAAATTTTTATTTTAGATTTATCAACAGAATGTCCAATACTACTTTAGGAAAGTGTCCATTATGTTTAAAAGTTCTTCTTGTAAAAAATTCTAAACGTCATTTTGAACATTGTTATGATAGTGTAAATACAAAAGCAAAATAAGAAAAATTATTATTAAAAATGAAACAAACAATTAACAGTGAACATCAACATGCACCAACATCAAGTAGTATAATTGAAGTAATATAGTAATCAGTTACATATCATATTTTTAGAATCCACATCATCAAATGAATCATTAACAATGATCTCGAATAAAACATCAGCAACAATATCAAATGAAACAAATATTGAACCGCCAGCTGTTGATGGATATGTATCATCACCTGATGTTACATTAATACCTGATGATAATAAATCTTTAGGTAATGTTCAATTTCAACATTTTGTTGAAATAAAAAATCATATTTGTGGTGATATTAAATACATTTTAAAACAAACTGAATTTGCATCGAAACTTGTTGAATTAGCATTTGATGAAACAGTTAGTGTACAAAATTTCTTAGTTGAAACAACATCAACATTTAATAAAGTAAAAGAATCTATAAATGATTTATTAATATTATGTAACAAAACACTTGAAAACATCCCCTCTACACCAACAACTGTTGATAAAATACAATCAACTGAAAAACCTATTTCTCGTGATCCATCTATCATAAAAGTTTTTGATGAAAACGAACTGCGTTATTTAGTCAATCAAGGTCCATATCAGCCTCTGTTACCACAATATCCAGTTAATAAACAACTAAAAAAGAAAAATGATACTTGCTATTTTGTTCCTCAGTGGTACAAAGAATTTCCTTTAATTGAATATAGTCCGATAACTGATTCAATTTACTGTTTTTGTTGTCGCTTGTTTGGACGTGGGCCTGGTGGTGTACAATCAGAAAATATTTGGGTTTCAAGTGGCATGAAAATGTGGAATAAAGTAAAAGGTTTCCAAATAGGGTGTGAATATGGGTGTGTGGTTGTGAGGTGTGCGTGTGGGTGTGGGTGTGAGTGTAGGTGTGGGTGTGGGTGTGGGTGTAGGCGTGGCTGTGGGTGTGGGTGTAGGTGTGGCTGTGGGTGTGGGTGTGGGTGTGAAAGTTCCTCTGGATAAAAACAACACCGACACCCATCCACCCACACCCACCCACACCCCAAATCGAAACACATTCGTACATACTGGTCTACAAGTGGATTCAATGCATTTCGTAGCTGAACCAGCAACGCAAAACACCAAGCCGGTGCAATGTTATTTATGCCTTCAATACAATCATGTAGCAAAGTACTGCAAAACTAAACAACAGATATGTGCTCGATGCGGTGATAATCACCAAATGGATCAATGTACTGCTGTTTCGGATTTGTTAAAATATTACAATTGTAAAGGTAATCACTTAGCTACATCTAATGTTTGTTCGAAATATATAGAACAAGAAAAAAGACTGCAAAATTTGGTCAATCAATATACCACGTCTTACAAGACGGCGGTACCACCAGCATTAAATGATCTTCAAGAATTTCTATCATTATCAAGCTTCACACATCAATCACAAGAACATCTACACAGTAATTTCTTGGATCAACTAGTCAACATTCTTTCTAGTAAAATGGAAAAGATTATTGAAGAAACAACAAGTCGTCTAATAAAATCTCTCCAGCAAAGAATCAAGAAGATCGAAAAGACCGTTGCAGCAGTGGAAAATATCATTAGCGACGACGATATGGATATCGACTCGTTTTGTGATTCGGAGAGCGACGATGATATTAAAGTATTAAATAACAAAAAGGTTAAACAACAACAAAAACAATCTTCAGTTACGATAAAACCCACAAAGGTCAAAAACATCCCATCATCCACATTAACTACAACAACAACAAATCCACCAGCTATTACTACCGATATCTTAATTAAAGCCCAACGTAAACCAAAAACAACATCAAAAACAGTCAAGCGAAATCGTTCACCCAACAGCTCGTTAGATTCCACTACAACTGATAACAAAGAATTAAAATCAAATATTAATGAAGATTAGTGTTCGTCATATTAACATCACCACTATTCGAAAACACAAAGACGAACTCCTTACCAGATTCTCCAAATACGACGTCATATCTGTAAATGAAACTAACCTGAAAAGAGATCAACCGTTCTCTATGAAAGGCTACAACATTTTTAGAAACGGCCGAGTAGGAAAACCGGGTGGAGGAGTATTACTTGCAGTCAAACAACATATTAAATGTAGTGAAATACTTAACAAAACTGTCGGAAAGAATGAAATTATAGCTATTGAAATTGCTACACAATCGGCCTATTCCATGGGGTTTCTCCCACGAAAACACAAGGGTTCTTGAAATTGACCGAATATGTCCTTATCTTGTAGAACATAATGACTTGTTGTTATGGTAAAAAAATTAGCTTAAACAGACGTTCCTTCAGAAAGATATAGAAGTCACAAGTAGAGCAGGAAAACGAAAAAACTCGAAAACAGCGTAAAACTCGGAAAAATTACCAAATATTGTGGTCTTCACTTTTTTATCATTATTTGGACGAAAATTAATTGTGATTGTATATTCTTGTTCCCCAAGATCTCGCGCATTTTCCCATATATCATTTGTTCGCTTTTATTCTTCTAATAAATTTTTTTCCTGAGTGATACTGAAATCCGGGACACAAATGATAGTGCTCATACTTAGTCCTTAGAAACGAAAAATGGCTATATTGCTCGGCATAGTGGCATAGTGGGTTTTGTAGAGCAGACTTTGCTCTATCAAACCCTATATTCGGAATTTCAGCCAATCTTGAAATTGTTAAAATGTAAACATAAACTTTTGATTTTCGATGATTTCGAGCATTTTTCAATAGAGAATCACGTTTTTTTGCAGTTTTGACTGCCATAACACGATACTAAACGAAAATAAATACGATATTCGAAATCAGCGTAAAAAAATACGTCCAATCATCTATTTGGAAGCAAAAATATTTTTCCACCAAAAATTGACCCGCGGGGGAGCACGGAGAAAAATGGTTCAAAATACTGCCGTGGGGGGAGGTATGCACCAGTGCCAGTTA